CCTTATCTGCGGGGCTGCAGCCGAGCCAATCATTCCCCAGTCTGTATTTATGCATGCAGTTATTCCATCCCAAGTGCAGGAATTTGCACTTTGCCTTACTGAATTTCTTCTGATTGATTACAGACCATTTCTCCATTTTATCCAGATCTACCCAACTTAGGGTCACTTGCAAATTTGTTAAGTGTGCACACAATCCCAATGTTCAAATCATTAATGAAGATGTTAAACAATACTGGAACAGGACAGGCCCCTGTCGAACCCCTTTGATACTTTCTCCCAATTAGAAATTGAGCAACTGATAATTACTCACTGAGCAAGCTGATCAAACCAGTTATGTATCTACCTTAAGGTACTTGAGCTTATTAATGAGAATATCATGGAAGACAATGTCAAAAGCCTTGCTAGTTGAGGTATATCACATCCACTGCTCTCTTTCCATCTACAGAGCCTATCACCTTATCATAAAAAGAAATCAGGTTGGTCAGGCATGACTTGATCTTGTTGAATCCATGCTGGCTGTTCCTGATAACTTTGTTCTTCTTTGTTCACAATAGATTTCTTGAGTTCCTGCTCCATGATCTTTCCAGGAATCAAGGTCATGCTGACTGCTTTGTAATTTTCCAGAACGTCTTCCTTCCCTTTCACAGAAGTTTAGGGCTGGAAGGGACCTCGTGAGATCATTGAGTCCAGCCCCTCTGCTCTGGGTGGGAAAGCCAGCTGGGGTCAAATAACTGCAGCAAGTTGTGCGTCCAGTCTCCATTTGAAGATCTCCAGGGTAGGTGTCTGCACCACCCTCACTGGGAGTCTATTCCAGAGTCTGGTCACATGAACCATGAAGAAGTTCCTTATACCCAGTCTGAAACCTTCTTCTAGGAGTTTATGACTGTTGCTCCTGGTTTTCCCCTGGGGCACTTTGCTGAATACTTGTTCACCTAGCCCTTGATGCTCTCCCCTGATATATTTGTAAGCTGCCACCAAATCCCCCTGAAGTCTTCTCTTTTCTAGGCTAAACAGTCCCATAGCTGTCAGACTTTCCTCTTTCTTAAAGGTGGGCCCTTTTCATATCATCTAGGTCCTCACATATCCTCCATGATTCCTCAAAAAGCCAATGGCTCTGAAATTATGTCTTCTACTTTCTTCAATACCTTTAGGATGCATTCCATCTAGCCCTGCTGACATGAAAACAGAGGTTCTCTAAGTAATTTCTGATTTGTTCAAGTGTTACCCCCGGTTGTTTTCTCTTTCCCTATCCTTGCTGCAAACAGCTAGCTCACCTAATTTGTGAAAACTGGAGTTAAAAAAAGTATTAAAATACTTTAGCCCTCTCTGCCTCTTAAAGATAACTGATTTTCTGAGGTTTTCTTTCTGAATATTACATTCCTTAAAGTGTCTTATATTAGACACCTCAAATTACAGGCACCTGAAAGCACTAGCTCTATTAGAAAATCATGGCCTGAATTTAATTTATTTGAAGGTACAGATAAAAAGCACATGGAGACTTAAGACTAAGTACAGACAGTCAAAAAGTCTAAGGCTGAATCGATCCAATATTCACAGGTTAAAATAAGCTGTGTAAATTGAACTGATAGCAAAGTGAACAGACAGTCCATTTTGATTCCAGAAATGCAGCCACATGTCTGCAGTGGGCCAGGCCAGAAGCTGGGGGGGCACAAGAGCATGCCTCCCTGCTTGACTGGAGTAGACAGCTTGAGCAAGGTTAGCCTGCCCACACAGTGGGGGCGGGGGGTGTTGCAGGGAAGGTGCAATGCAGTCTGGGATGCTAGTAGACTGTGGGTTAACTTGAATATGGAGAGGATCTGGGACACAAGTTCAATAAGTTGATTTAACCTAAATCTGTGAAGTCTGATACTACCTCCATCCAGGTTTATCTTAATCTGGTTTAGGCCATTTTGAAAGCAGTTTATGTGCACTGAACTTCTGTTCAGTTGTGTCACAGATTTGAACCAGTTTCCAAACACATACCAGTTTGTGTGTAATTTCTGCCCCTAGCCAAAGAGAGGGAAAATGTTTGTCTTGACTATTTTTCCTAGAAAACTGATAAAAATAAAAAGTAACATAATTTATGGGTACAAACGTTAACTTCTCTTTAAAAAAAATTAACATATGAAAATGGATTTTTGGCCAAAAATCAGCTTTCCAGTGGGAATCAGGGATCCCTGCTATAATCCCATAAAAAAGAGGGAGAACAACTTTATCTCCTGCTGCAGGACACAAAGCAATAACTTCAAATTTCAGAAAAGTAGATTTAAATTTAATACCAGGAAAAATATCCTGACTGTTATAATAGTGAGGCACTAGAATAGATTGCATGGAGTGTTGTAAAATGTCCTTTACTGCTGGTTTTCAAGAAGAGATTGGCTAAGCATTGGACAAGGATGATTTAGGAGCAGCATTTCTGCATATGTTCAGTGGGTTGGACCAGAGGTCCCTTGAGGTCTCCTCCAACCAAATGATCCTATGATAAGGGAAAGTGGGAGCTTTCCAGAAAAAAAAAAACCCTCCAAGAAATTTTGACAGGGAACTGTTAAGCAGCACTAGTGCTATCTGTTTTAACTAAGATGAAAAACCAAAGATGTGGCCATGGTCATTACTGTCCCATGGGACTAGTCACAAAAGTAAAAGCTATAGAAATGTAAACATTCAACCACGTTTTCCAGACCATACCTATGCAGGAGAATCCAATATAATATTACCTTGCATTCTGCATAGATGTAATTCCACAAGTGGGCTGAAACTCTAGTGTTTAGAAGTGTCAGTGGCTGGATACAATTATGTACATTCCCAAATAATTTGTGATTCTCAACAGATTAGAAAGATCAGATGAGCAGGGGAATGTCTACATATTGGTCCACATTATTAATACAACTGGAACCTTTAAAAATATTTATCCTACAGAACACCTGACCAGCAGGGTTAATTCCATCAAGTGATGTTGATAGCTCGTAAAAATACCCTCTTTTCAAACAAAAAAGGCTCTAACAGCACAGAATCAGGTGGATACACTCTCAGTATAAGCAAGAAAGAGAAACATACATATGTGCCTTTATTTTTCTAAGGTCTTTGAACAGCTATAGGACTTTGGTCACAAAGACCATATGCTGTGGTCAAACTACACTGAAAACTCTGAATTCGCAAGGCATCATGATAGCAGTTTATGGCCGTTTATAGGTAGGGAATTAAAAATACCATATTGACTAATCTGGTACCCCTTAGATATAGTGGGCCAAATTCTGCCTTCACCTGCAGCCAGTGCACTCCACTGAGTCTAAGACAAAATCTGGATCAATCAGTGTGACAACCAAATTAACTAGTGAAGCATCCACTGATGCCACATATAAATCTCAGCTGTAATGGAATATGTTTTGTATATAGAGGGGAAATAGATAGCAAAACATTCAAGTATTAAATACAGAATAACATGCTTTTTTTCTACCACAGTATAATGATTGGAATATATTTTTGCTTATCAGAATGGTACAATTCCTTTGTTTTGTTCAGTGATTCAGCATTGTTACATATAGACAACTGTGAACTATATCCAGCCCCAATAACATAAGATCAAGAGTACTAAAGAGGAGAGTGTTAACTAGATTTGGTATACAGCTAAGTTAAATTGCACTAGGCTGAGTCATTTTGCATGAGTATATCCAGTGCCCACATCACCTGGGTAATTCCATTCAAATATATTTAAGGTCTAATAAGAAACCTGGATAGTTAATTCCAAAGAGTAGGACATATAAATAATATGGTTTCGATGCCACCATGAACTACTGATGATGGCTGATTCTGAACCCAAAGAACAGTTAAAAATGTAGCTGGATCCTGATAAACCTATCAGCTCACACATTTTAACAGGATTAACAGGCTATCTACTGCAAACTCAAAAGGCCATATACATATCTTACTTGGTCTTGATGTTGACTTGGTGGTCTTGAATGGGATAATTTCTCAGGCAGTTTTCTGTCAAGGCCATGTCCATTCTCCAAACGAGACTCCCTGGGCTTGTCAAACCAATCTGTTTCTTCACGACGGAGATGATAGGCTTTGAAAACCAAGGACATGTCAAATATTCTGATCCGTAGCAGATAGAAGGGAAACATTGTAGACCACACAGCAAACATGCATACTGGTTATTATTTGGCCATGCAGTTCAAGCAGACTTCCAGGCAAGACTGGAGACAAACATATTCAAGCATAAAAACTGACAACGCAGATGAAAATGGTAAGATCATATCTGTGTCATAAACTGATATGGATATTTAATAAAAAGAAAAAAAATTAAAAACCCCACCAGTATTGAAAGCTATAAACATTTCCCCTTACCAGTGCTTAGAAATATACTGCAGCTTTCACATTTTTAAAGGTTTCTTGGAAGTTCTACACAGTTACAAGCTGACTACTTAAAAAAAAACATGTATCAAGGGAAGCCTGCATAGTCAAAAATGTTTTTGAGAGCATTTGTAGAGGCTTGGCAAACTGCTTCTCTTGATTAAATTATTGTTCATCATAAAACACAGGAAAGGAGAAAAGATGAGGGAAGAGGAAGCTAACTTTTTAACATTTGGAGGAGAAATAAAGTAGGTTTTCTCATTTTCCATTCCACTGGAATGACTGAGTCCTCCTGTATGTGGATCTGTTAGTTTGCAGCAAATAAAAAAGCCAGGAAGGAATCTTCTATGTACAGAAAAGATGGTCTGAGACCTCTAAAGATGTGAGCCCCAGCCTTGCTCTGAACTTGTGTGGAAGGTGTTTCTAGCTGTGAATAGGTATGTGTTTGTCCTAATGGGAAACCATAGGAAGCCACATTATTCCTTTGGGTACTGTTGGCAGTCACTACTGTGCCTTAAACATAATAGCCCAAGGAAATGTTTAGGTTTGGGACAGACAACAGACCTGGACATTAATCTTCTGCATACCTGATTCTTTTTCCACTTAGACCAGTGTAGACAAGTATAGCATCTTTGGATTCGTCCAGACAAGTGCAGAGGTTTGTTTCCCCAGGGACAAGCAGTAGTGGCACACTTTGTGCCACTGCTCTTTGACGCTGGGGAATGCCTGTGCCACACCTGCTCTGGCACATGGCAGATGACCCTGGGTGGGGTAGGGAAGGATGGGGCCAGCAACTGTGCTGGCCTCAGCAGCCTTACCTGTGGTTCTGGGAGCTTCCCGGGGCTGCAGCTATGGCAGGAAGCCTGGCTGGCAGCCGGAGTGTGGCTCCAACCAGCCAGGCTCCAGTTTTGGGCAGCATGCACTGCCACTATGTGTGTTGCCCTGCTTTTATTTGGTGTGGGATTTTTGACCCTGGGATCTCCCAGGGTCAACCTCCCCACCGCTGCAAGGTAGCAGCACAGGGAATGCCAGCATGTGTGGTGCGTGGTGTCACAGATGTGTCTGCTGCACTACATACCGCACATCCATGCTCATCTGGATGCAGTCTATGAGGCCAGATTGTCTGTTGTTTTAAAACAGCAATGTTTCACTGAACTTAGTTGATCTAAGCTGTTTTATATCTCCTGGTGACCAGGCCAAAGAGCATTTGGCTAGCTCTTCTCTGATTTACACCTTTGAGAAATCTGAATCAGATCCCGTGGGTAAAATAATATTGACATAATATGCCAAACAAATTTTCTACTGTGTAGACGCCTGTCAATGTACAGCAAAATAAGCTGGAGGTAATTAGGAAATCATTGACGATTTGAATTTCATGTTGTGAAAATCGTTATACATTTAGCATGGGAAAAAAGACATTATTGACTTAGCAAAATAACTAAGAAATTAAAAAGTTTAAACAAAGTCAGTTTTTGCTAGAGTAACAAAACTCAATGCATTTCAATGGTATGATGGTAGATTTAAAAAAAATGCAAAAGTGTGATGGTTTTGTTTCTTTTTTGTGATATGACTGGTTAAATAGATGTTTGAAAAATAATAATACTGTATACTGTAACACTTGAATCCAAGATGAGGTTTTTTTTCCCTATTAAGCATGGGAAGAAGGCCCCTCATCTTGGATTCCATCAGAAGGTGGAAGGGTGGGAGCAGGCAGCTGCTGCAACTCTGACTCCAGCCTTACTGCAGGTCACAGTAGCTGCCTGCTCTCTGCATCTTCTGCCCCCCTAATTATATGCCCATGCAGCCTCTGCCCCCTCCTCCCCCTTATTGACAGCCGTTCTCCAGCTCTGGCTCCATTCCCCCTATGGGGAGTGGATCACATGGAAACTCCATCCACTGCCCGGCCAGGCATTGGCAGCACAGCTCTGGCCCCAGATGCTGCTGCATGGCTGGGCAGAGGTTGCACTTCTATGTGCTCTGTGCCCAGGGGGGCATGGAGCTACATCTGTGCCTGACAGTAACCAGAGGGGGGAGGGGGAAGATGGAGAGAAAAGGGGTAGAGGCTGTGGGAAGGGGAGGCGGAAAGGGAACAGAGGGTGTTGGAAGCAAGTGGGAGCAGAGATTGTGGGGGGTGCAGGTGGCAAGGGAGCAGACCCGGGGTGGGGGTCAGGTGGCAGGGGATGAAAGCACAATGGGGGTGAGGCAGGCTGCAAGGGGAAATAGTGGTTAGGGAGGGCAGAGGTCAATAAGTCTTAAATTTGTTCCCCTCAGCTGCCGGTCTCCCTGCCACTCCTTTTCCCACTCTAGCAGTGAGGTAGAAGGTTAGGGCAACCTCTGGAAAATTAGATTTTATACTGGAAAGCTATAACAAATTTATAAATATTCCTTATATAGAATCTAATTATCATTTCGTAGTTTCATAGTTTCTAGGGTCAGAGGGGACCTGAGCAGATCATCAAGTCTGACCCCCTGCCATGGCAGGAAAGAGTACTGGCATTGTGGGGAGGTATCTTAAATGAGAAGGCATCTTGAATTCAGGTAAATATGGTATTTTAGCTATTTATTTCCAAACCTATTTAGCTTAATCTAGAAAGGGGATTGCTAGTTATATATTAGTCAGTTTTTAAAAGCGCACTGTATATGAGATAAAACACCACCCTATTTTGAAGAAGTGCTGTCATCAAGGCCTTTGGGATCTATCTGTATTTGACCTCATATATTAAGAGATCTACCTAATGCACGTACTCAAATCCCTAGTGTTAGAGTGTTTGAGAACATAATTTACCTAGTAGAACAGCATGGATAAAGTAAAATGAAACATTATTAAATGTTGATGTTTGTCCAGATAATAATTAACTGATCCTAATAAGTCATTATGATTATGTAAATCCTCCATTGTTTACAGATTTGTGTCAGTTGATTGAATTGTTATATTTATTAAGCATCGTTATAACTCATTTTGAGCCACAACCCTTTATCAAATCTTCTACTAAAAAACTTACGGCATATTTTGGTCCCAGATATTAGCGCTGAATACTATAATTTGTGCCACGATCAGGGAAACCCTAAAGTGGAGCTTCATTCTCAGTTCAAGTAATTTTTTTGCTGGCCATCTCCATTTAGAAAGCTACACTGTATATAGAATCCTGTGAGAAAGCTTATAAATCAGGCTGTTTTTCTAAAAGCTAATATATTGTTTTAAAAAAAAACTATCTATCTATGTATCTCCCTGGTTTTATTCTGATTGATTCACTATGACTTGTTTTACTTGGGATGCTGAGAAGAGCTAAGTTAAACCACTGGCTGGCTAAGAGGCTCTAACATATCATCGGACTATAACCCTGCCCCTGATAGTCTACCAACTGCTTAGAGTTTCACTGAACTCAGTAAGGTTCCATGCTGGTAGAGCAGTCCTCCTTGCACAGTTCATTGCAAAACAATGCTTTTAAAAGTTGCAGATACGGTCAGCAAAATCAATGTGATCGTGAGAACTGAAAACTCTCAGTGACTGCTTTAATTCTGTCAGGTGTCATGAAGTTTATAAATATATACATTTGGAGACTGAGAATCAATATATAGTGGCTTAAAAACTGATGAGGTATGATTGGCTTAAAAAAAAAAATCAGCTGAAGTATAATGATCTACAGAGACACCATGATTTAAGGCCTACATATAAGAACCCATATCAACATTCAAACAGAATGAAATGAACCACAACCTGCAAAACCGCAAAGAGTTTCTCGTCCCAAAGAGAGAGAATTAGTAAAGAGAGGCAAGGTCACATACACTAAACAGGTGTGCAGCATTCAGCTTAAACTTTTTATATTCCTCTATCATCACATCACATTTTTCATCTCTATTGCTGGATTAACACTAATGACATCCCATATAAAAGGGAAACAAAATTGAGAAGGGAAGGGTCAGGAGATGTATTTTCTAAAATGACTATAAGAGATTGACATTCTTAAAATAAAATGTCTATCTGCAGGACTGGGATCCTGATAGTGTCTCATAGTTTCATAGCTGGTAGGGTCAGAAGGGACCTAAGTAGATCATCAAGTCCTACCCCCTGCTATATGGGCAGGAAAGAGTACTGGGGTCAAATGAACCCGGCTAGGTGATTATCCAGGCTCCTTTTAAAGATCCCCAGGGTAGGGGCAAGCACCACTTCCCTTGGAAGTTGGTTCCAGATCCTAGCCACCCTGACTGTGAAGTAGTGCCTCCTGATATCTAGCCTGAATCTACCCTCTGCCAGGTTGTGACCATTATTCCTTGTTACCCCCGGTAGTGCTTGGGGGGAACAGGGACTCTCCCATAGCCTGCTGGTCCCCCTTGGCCAGTTTGTAGGTGGCCACTAGATCCCTCCTCAGCCTTTTCTTGTGGAGGCTGAACAGGGTCAGGTCCCGTAGCCTCCGCTCGTAGGGCCTGCCTTGCTGTCCCCTGATCATGCGAGTGGCCCTCCTCTGGACCCCCTCAATGCTGGCCACATCCCTCTAGAAGTGCGGTGCCCAGAGCTGGATGCAGTACTTTAGCTGCATCCTG